TGGAAATGTGTAGATTATGAGACTAGTGTGATAATCAACCAAATGCAATGTGTGGACCTTACTTGGATGCTAATTGAACAAACAGTTGTAAAAATAATTTTTTTTCTTAAATTGTGACATTTTGAACACTGACTAGATATTTATTGTGAAGTTTTGTTCATCTTTAATGACTGATAATAGGCCCTGGCCAGTTTTGCTCAGTGGTTAAAGCGTCGGCCTGCAGTCCAGAGAGACCGGAGTTCAGTTCCTGCTCAGGGTGTGTACTTTGGTTGCAGTTTGTCCCCGGCCCTGGTTGGGTTGTGCGGGTGGCGGCCACTCGATGTGACCCTTTCATGTCGATGTTTCTCTCTCTCTCCCTCCCACTCTATCTGAACAAAAAAATGGAAAAATGTCCTCAGGGGAGGATAAAAATAATAATAATAGTAACGACTGATAATAGTATTTTGTCTACTTAGAGTTGTTTTAAGAGATAATAATACTTAGAAATAAAAGGCATGAGAATACCAAGTTGGGGGTGATGGTTACATTCTGGGAGGCAGTAGCATGGGTAACTTCAGTTGTCTCATTCTGTTTGGTGAGCTGGGTTCATAGATGTTTTATGGTTTATAATATAAAAAATCACACATCATTGTGCATCAAATTCAACATAGTAAACAATTATTAAAGTGACAGAGAGAAGTGCAATGGATAAAATCCAGAATGAATAATTGTACATGATGACCAAATAAATGGCATGAAAACAGTGAAGGGGAACTCATATTAAATAGACCTACTTTTAGGAGCAACAATGATGTTGTAGTGAAGTTTAAACAAAAAAGGTCCTTATGTTTTATAGCTATTTATTGATGTACTTCAGCATGACTGTGGGACTTGTTGGTACAGTGTAAGTATAGATAAATAAGATCAGGTGATTGTACTTGATCATAGAAGCTGGTATAGGCATATGTAGGTTGATTGTTATTAGTTTATCTAGAGGTGTCAATGTGGAAATTGCTCTAAAATCCACTTAAATCAATTTCATTGATTACTAAAGATCTTGAAGATGCCCTTTGGAGTCTACATGAGCTTCTCTGTTGACTTGTTATCCTGTAATTTAAGATGCTTTTAATAAATAACTATTATTGAATTTTCATCTTCACTAATATTTTAAGCAAAGAGAGTGTTAGACAAACTTCATTTTTCTCTCTGGGGGGAAACACTTATGTTCTATATGCTTTACTTATAAATAGTTGTTTTGGAGTTGCTTTTTAAAGCAACAGTAATTAAATCAGTACTTTTGTTCTCAAGCTTAAGAGTGGTAGTTCTCACTCACCTAATAATTTTTTTTTTTTTATCATCCTCACCCGAGGACACTTTTCCATTTTTTGTTCAGGTAGAGTGGGAGGGAGAGAGAGGAAGAGACAGAGAGAAACATCGATGTGAAAGGAACACATCGAGTGGCTGCCACCCGCACGACCAACCAAGGCCGGGGACAAACTGCAACCAAGGTACGTGCCCTTAGCGGGAACCGAACACGGGTCTCTCCAGACCACAGGCCGACGCTCTAACCGCTGAGCCAAACTGGCCAGGGCATCACCTAATAATTTTTAAGACAATCATTAAAAGTGTTGTTTGTTTCTGGATGGTGGATCTGCAAGTCTTGTTTTTTCTTCCCTTTCTATATACTATAACAAAATTTAATTTAATTATTACGTGGGTGCTTCCTGGGTGCCGAGCACCGTTCCAGGCTCTGAATACAACAGCAGGTGGAACAGTCTAAGTCCGTGTTCTTACAGAGTGTGTCTGATTAATGCTCCTTTGGTGTGTTTGAAGAGGAGGTGAAACACCCACTTCTTTTGCTGATAGTTCAATGAAACTTTAAAGATTTGGTAATCATCGAGCAGAAACAAATACCAATATCTTCTATCAACTCTTAAGTATTTAGAACCAAATCTAGACAGAACTTAATTCTGAAAGCTTGTATGGGAAAGGGGTGCTTGGAAAAGCAGGTGATAGTTGTTTCCCACAACTTGGTAAGTACAGCTGAGGGGGATAGATTTTCTCTAGTACTGTCCAGGTCAAAGTTTGTGTTTCTGGGCTGGATGACTGGAATTTATGCCTTTGCTTTTTAGTTAGAGCCTTTGGATGCTTGTACTGGTAAGAGGGGAGTTTGGGGTTAGGAGCCAGAGGTGAAACGGCAGATTTTAGGATTACTTGCTGGGTAAGAGGGGAAGGGTCATTTTTTCCATTTCCATATTGTTTTAATTTGCATTGTTTCTGGTTTTAGTGTTATTGAGTATATTTATAAATCTTTAAAAAGATGTTTTTAAATTAGCCCCGCTGTTGTGGCTCAGTGGATTGAGTGTCGTCCCATGGACTGAGAGGTCCCAGTTCAATTCCCAGTCAGGGCACATGCCCGGGTTTCAGGGGCGTGCAGGAGGCAGCTGGTCCATGTGTCTCTCTCACATTGATGTTTCTATCTCTCTTCTCCCTTCCTTCCCTCTAAAAAATCAATAATAAAAAAATATTTAAATTAAATTTATTGGTGTGACATTGGTTAATAACATTACATAAATTTTAGTACATCTGGAAGGAACAACTTTTGATGTTATAACACTAACTGTAATGAAAACAATTTTAATGTTTGTCTGAAATGAAACTTGAGGGAATCAGGTAATAGAAATTGGACAGCCATTTAAGGGAAATAATTATTCTGGAATAATTTCTAATACATAAATGGGTGTTGGATGTATATTTTGAAGAATGCATTGGGAAACATGGTTAATGGATTACTTTTGATATATAAAAGATTGTATTTTATTTAAATAATTTATTGGGAGCCCTGTGAGGTGGATATTGCTTTTATAATATGAATAATTACCTACTAGTTGACCAGAACTCTATGTATATTTACATGTGTACTTTTGGGAAAATTTTCGGTAATATATACCCAGAAGAATGAGTCCATTGGTAATGAATGCTTAGTTTCTTAATATTGTGCTGCTAATTCTTACTGGGTCAGATGTTTGATTAAACAGATTAGTACTTGCATATCTGTAGTAATTCTTACTTCCTTGGTTACTCAGGGTAAATATTTACACAATGTGAGTAATTTTTCTGCTAGTTAAAGTAATATATGGCATTTTTGAAATCTGTGTATTAGGAATTCTTGTATTAGGGTGTATTTTGAAGGTTTTTGTAGAAAATAGAAAAAGTTATGCAAAAGCAGAACTATAACACATGTCCGATAGTTTTTACCCATTAACACAAGTTATTTTGAAACAAATCTCACATCAACATTTATAAGTAAATTGAGACTGGATAGTGTTTAAAATCTTTTTCTTTTTCTTTCTTTTTTTAAAAATATGTTGTTATTGATTTTTTTTAGAAAAAGAGGACGGGAGAGAGAGAAACATTGATGTGAGAGAGAAACATCGATCAGCTGCCTCTTGCATGCCCCCTACTGGGGATCGAACTGAAACCGCGGCACGTGTCCTGACTGGGAATCAAACTAGGACCTCCCAGTCCATGGGACAGCGCTCAATCCACTGAGCCACACTGGCCTGGCTAAAATCGGGTGTTTTTTTTTTCTTCTTTTTCCAGTATTGACACCCTCTCTGTCTCTTTGGTGTATTGATCTTGGTGATTGCGCTTTCTTTTATTGTCTCAAAAATAATGTAAGAATGCTTCTTACTCTCCATTACATGATTATGAGCAGGATGTACCTGACTTTGGTTAATCTACACATTCTTTAGAGTGTCCTAAGGGATAGGCGGTATCTCTGGCATTTGTTTCTTCTCGTGCTTTGGGAGGAATAGAAGGGGCAAAAGACTGGACTATGAATCTTGTCTAAGCTGGTGTTTTGCTGTGGTACTTCCAAGTAAGTGGATTATTTGACTTGGAAAGGAAAACTAACTGGTTCTAATTCTGGAACTTGAGTAATTTATTTCATTTGAGAATTCAAGCCTAACTGCTAGTTTGTTTGTTTTTTTTTAAAAAATAGCTTGTTGACTCTGAATTCCTTTACCTTTTACTAGGGTGATTGGTGTGTGGCATCTATGCTAAAATCTCATATAATTACTGTCTCCGCCCCCTTCTCTCCTTTCTTTCTCTGACAGTGTTGAAGAAGGGGTAGAAAAAGAGGGTGTGGGTATATAATAGCTATTATTATATACAACATATAGTATACTATATATGCATGTTTACATGTGTGAGCATTTGAACTAAAGTGTTGGTTTTTTTTAATGTTTTTTGTACTGTGGATTCTTTTAGTAACCTGAAATATATGGACCTCATAGGGTGTTTTTAAATGCATAAAATAAAACACATAGGATCATGAGGAAATCAATTACTTTGAAATACTGTTAGCAAAATGTTAAAACTCATAGTAACATGTGCTTCTTAACATAAGTAACAAGTTCTAGCAACACATCTAAATTTCACAGTAATGAGTGTAGATGGTATTTAAAGATCTGCAACAACTTAATGTGATATGAAAAGGGATTTATGTTGATGTCAAAATTACAAGTTGTATAATTCTACTGTGGTTTTTGTGCTAAATTTCAGAGGATAGTGAAAATAAATATGTGGGCCCCTCCCCCACCATATCCCATGCAAGTTCCCTGAATTCTATCCATGGACCCCTTGGCTGCGATCTCAGATTGAGAACATTGTGCTCTAAGGCTTTGTGTCCTGCACTGCTTCATTTGAGGCTAAAGGGTTTGAACTTAGAATATAGTCATCAGATGAAATGTTTCAAACATTATATCTGCCAATTTTAGAGGCTTTTGAAATCAACCATAACAATCTAATGATGCTGGCTCTCCAGATGGTCTCAATATGCATCCTGTGACTAACTCCGTCTCCTTTTCCTTCCTGAGCTGAATTTTCTTACTATATATTGGTTTGTAGTTAATATAAAATTAATAAGTAATTTCTAAACATCCATATTGACTATCAATGTCTTTTGGTTTTATATGTTTTTTTTTTTCTTTTAAAAAAACATTTTAATTCTTCTGCAGGATTCGGAAACTTCAGATACGAAATATCCCGCCTCACTTACAGTGGGAGGTAAGAACTTCTATATTTAAAATTAAAATTCCAGTATCTAAGCTTATTGTTAGTTTTTCCAAAATTTTTTGGTCATTCCCTCAACTCTTGTGCTTGAACACAGTTTTTTCTCTCATGGTTTGTGTCTTGCTGTGGGCTTTTCTTCACACTGTGTCTTTTAAAAATTGCACTTTGAGATACTTATAAAAAAGTTGAAATAGCTTCTTGGGAAATCTTCCTCATTCAGTCTCATCCCAACAGAACCTTTTTATTTGAGATCTTTCTGATGAGTTTGCCAATTGTATGTATGTATGTATGTATGTATTTAATTATTTTTGGTACGTGCTCCTAGCGGACACCGAACTCAGGACTCCTGGTCCGCAGGCCAATGCTCCATCGGCTGAGCCAAACTGGCCAGGGCTGCCAATTGTATTTAAATATGAAGTTCCCTCCTTGGCAAATTTTTTACAAAGACAAATAGCTGCTGCTTATGCTTTATTTTAAAAGGTGACTCTGCTTTCTTTTGCTCAGATGGTGTCACTGTAGTGACTGGGCAGAAACACAAGCTAAATATTTAGCACTATTGATTAGTCTGTGTCAGCAGTTTCCAAAGCATAATAATGATGTCCTGGTGAGAATTTAAGTCACCAGTGGATGAAGAGATAAAAGAAAATATGTGTTGACCCTTCCAGAGGATGGAACCCAAAAGTTCTTCAAACCTACCTTGGAGAGGTGGTACAGGGAAAACTGCTCAGCCCTAGTATATTTTTGGTCTGAGGGTCGACACTCTAACCCAGTGGTTCTCAACCTTCCTAATGCTGCGGCCCTTTAATACACTTCCTCGTGTTGTGACCCCAACCATAAAATTATTTTTGTTGCTACTTCATGACTGTAATTTTGCTACTGTTATGTCTTAGACGACCCCTGTGAAAGGGTTGTTCAACCCCCAAAGGGGTTCACAGGCTGAGAACCCCTGCACCGCTAAGCCAAACTGGCCAGGGCAGCCCTTATGTATTTTTAATATAAAAATTAAGAGTAGCTTTGTAAATTTCACATTCATCTTCTAAAATGACATTTGATGAGTCACTAAACCAGAACCTTCATTAAAATGCAAAGTATGGTTGAAAGTTTTTTTTGATGGGGAGTTGAGGGAAGTTGGTCAGCAGTTTGGTTTTTTTGTTTTTTTTTTAAATCCTCACCCGAGGACATTTTTCCTTTTTTTTTTCTTTTTTGTTCCGATAGAGTGGGAGAGAGAGAGAGAGAGAGAGAGAGAAACATCGATGTGAAAGGAACACATCGAGTGGTTGCCTCCCGTACGACCCAACCAGGGCCAGGGACAAACTGCAACCGAGGTACGTGCCCTTAGCGGAAACCAAACCCGGGTCTTTCTGAACTGCAGGCCGACGCTCTAACCGCTGAGCCAAACCGGCCAGGGCAGCTGTCTGATTTTTTAAGGTCTCAGTAGGTAACCAGTCATTTATGCTCAGAATATTTTACAGAACATTTATAGTCAGAACAGTATTATTTATTGAGTTTTATCTTTGTAGGAGGAGTTGGTTCTTTGGTATATACGTGAATATTTCTCAAGCGATATAATGCATAAAAAGTATACTTTTGTAGATGGAAACTAAATAAGGTTACACTCAATGCATTTTCCTGTTTTAGATTAACATTTGTTTAGGGAATTGAGTAGCTTGGGGGATGGGCCCCCAAGTCAAGTGTTGTGGTTTGATCCCTTTGTTTTAACATGGGCTGGGTTGAATATGATTTTTCTGAGTGTGTATTGTAGTTTTCAATGAAATAGTCCATAGCAGCCAGTTTTAAGCAAGTGAATTATTAGAGTAGTAGTATATCGAATACAGGCAAGTGGCAGTTTCCTTTTAATTCATGCATAGTATCTCTTCAAATTAGATTGCGGTGGCTTCTCCAGCATTTAGTTTATTATATTTTTGGTGGCTTTTCAAGCTTTTAGTTTATTGCATTCTTATTCTGGATAAAATTTAACCTCATTCATGAGACTAAATCTCTATTTGCAATATCTAAATTTTTAAAAAATCGTATTTATTGATTTTTGAGAGTGAGGAAGGGGGAGCTAGAGAGACATCGATTTGTTGTTCCACTTATTGATGCATTCATTGGTTAATTCTTGTATGTGCCCTGGCTGGGGACTGAACCCACAACCTTGGCATATCGGGACAACATTCTAACCAACTGGGCTACCTGGTCAGGGCCGTCATATCTAACTTTTATATTTCATTTTACCTTCCCCATAGTTCTTTAAGGTAAGGCGAAGTTGGGCAAATATGAGCACACAGGATTCAGATAATTCAGCAAGAACACATACTGAATTATAAGACGTTTGGAACTAGACTTTGAAACTCTTGACTTTCAGCTCTTCAAAATTTCTTACATGGTTGTTGGACATATTGATTAACAAAATTTACTGAGGGCTTGTCAGGAGTGGGCTAAGGTAGAGTGAGGTTTCCTTTCCTTGAAGACTTGAATGAATACCATCTTTTATTTCCTCTTTGGGGCGAGTCACTTTGTATAACTTTCATCTGTACGCACCGAGTACGCTGGCTGTTTCCTGCCAAAGCCTTCTCATAGACAGTGATTATTTTTTACTTACAGGTCCAGACTCCCTTTATAGTAGACTTTTGAATGCACTGATTAATCGTAGAATCACTGAAAGTGGAAAGACTGAATGTTATGTGCCTCCTGATTTGATGTAATAGGAACTACACAGACAGGTGAAATAGTCTAGTCTAAAAAATAGAGGTTTGACTGGGTTCACTTTCGATCTAACTTTGGGTTTACAATAAATACGGAAGATAGAGGCATCACTTAAGAGATGCCGCAGAGAAACAATTAGCCACATCCAGAATATGGGACGTTGCTCAGGACAAGCAATACTGGTTTACTAATCACTAATGGCATGTTAAAAGGGATGGAGACTGTCATGGAGTTAGACTTACTAGGAGAACAAAAAAAGCCAATATATACCTCTAGGAAGTTATTTGCAAACTGTGTAAACAGTCCTTTGAAGCAGTATGAAGTATCTAGAAACGTCTTAGAGTTTTTTGGGGGCAGCCTTTGGGGTCAGTCTTGGAATTGTATCCCAGCTCCACGACTTTCTAGTTGTGTGATCTCTGAACAGGTTTTAAAAATTCTCTGAGCCTCCTCTTCCTCATCACTCATTGGGTGGCTGTGAGCATCAATAGTTATGCATGCTAAAGCCCTTGAAACAGCGCTTAGTACAAAGAAGTGCACACTACACTTTAGCTATAATAGGAACAACACATTCACCTCCTCTTGACCTTGTTCTCATCTCGGTCAAATCCAGCCTGGAGCGCAGAAAACACCAGGTATTTCAGCAGCGGGGAGTTAATGTGGAGAATCACACGGGTGTTGGAGAGGCTGAAAGAGCAAAACGGGAAGCTGGAGACAATGATGCAGGGAGCAGCCACCACCCTGAGGACTGAGGAGGTGACACAATGAGGGAGGGAGGCTCCCTGGCTGTGGCTGGCACCTGGGATGGGAGGAGGGGGAGGTGATGAAACTGGTGGAAACCACTGCTGATAGGCTGACATTGATAGGAACAACTGATAAACAGGAAAGAGCAAGTGCTATCTCCTCTACTCCTGCTCTCCAGTCTCCCTCTATTGCCTTCTATCAGCAGAAACTAACGGGGGGCCACTGGCCAAGGAGCAGTGGAGTCCCCAGCCTCTGCATCAAAAAATCAGAAGGTGGATTTGGAACGAAGAGCTTGATGTCCAGACAGAGTTCCACCCAGAAGTGAAAAGTCCTCCCCTGTCCCGCCAGTCCTCCAGTAAGCCATTTCCCGTGACCTCAACCAGAGAGGTGTCAGAATCTGGGACCTGGCCGAAACGCTTAGTGGAACAGTGCTGTGTGGCATTTTATAAGAACTGTAGGTGAATTGTTATCTTTATTCCACTTTGCTATCTTTATTTTGTATTTGTGTTCATTCATTATCTTCATACCACCATATGCTGCTGAATGGCACAAGGGGGATTCCTCTCAAGTTCTTGCAGGCTGTGCATGTCAAGCAGTGGTAACTGATTTCTAACTTCTTGTTCGGGATGGTGATAAAGCATCTGTGGGCCCTGGGTTAGCTATTTCACTGAAGTGTTTTGGGGAGATATAAATATGGAGAAACTAACTTTTTGTTGTTTTTTTGAACCCTCACCTGAGGATATTTTTCTTTTTATCATCAGATAGAGTTATAGGGTGGGAGAAACATCATTGAGAGAGACCATCGACTGGTTGCCTCCCGCTTGACCCGACCACGGCCGGGGATGACCCGCAACCAAGGTACGTGTCCTTGACCGGAATCGAACCCGTGACTCATTGGTCTGCGGGCCAATGCTCTAACCACTAAGCAAAACTGGCCAGGGTGAAACTAACTTTTTGAAGGGCTTGCTGTTGGAGAATTAGGTAGGTTTGTTTTTCCCCAAATATGTGGAATGTAGAAGGGAGATTGAAGAACCTGTGTCTTCTCTACCTGCTGCCCCTTGCCTAAGGTACTTGCAGGGTAGGTATTTGGTGTGACTGCAACTAGAACCGCCTTGGAGGCAGAGGGAGGTGAACTGTGTGATGAGGATTGAGGGAGCACTTCCTTGGGCGAGCAACACTGAAGTGGGGGGTGGCAGAGTCCCAGCAGGACACTTGACCTTAAACACTCTGAGAAGACTTTTTTTGGGGGGGGGGGGTGGTTAATCCTCACTGGAGGATATTTTTTCCATTGGTTTTTAGAGAGAGTGGAAGTGGGGTGGGTAGTAAGGGGATAGAGAGAAAACATTAATTGGATGCCTCCCATACACTCCTGGACCAGGGTTGGGGATTGCATCTGCAATCCAGGTGCATGCCCTTGACTGGGAACTGAACCCATGACCCTTCGGTGGGCTGGCCCATGCTCTAACTGCTAAGCCATGCTGGTCAAAGTGACTACTTTTTTTTTTTTTAAACCTTACTTGATGTCTCAGATGGGCTCTATTTTCTAA